ATATATATCAAAATTTCTCCACTCTATCAGTTTATTGCAAACCATATCAATCTTTAAATTAAAAATCATTTCTATCTGCAAGGTGTGTCACTTTATTATTTTCCAAAGTTAATCAATAAGATAATATGACAAAATGAACAGGAAGGCGATATGTGCTTAACAAGGAAAGAAAACTTGCTATGCAAGGACACACATACACACGTATAAGCACTATTTCAATATATGAAATATTTGTGAGCAGAAATAATGCAACAATTACTTCAGAGCGAAGTACTATAAATAACAATAAAATATTATTAATCTCCATAGCTTAGAAAAAAGATGCGGAAATAAGATAACTCTTGTTGCACATTGATCGATCAAAATATATTCATCGGAATAATATCTTGAAAATGAAATATAAAATATAAATAATATATAGATTTATCTAGAAAATGAATCAACCTACTAAATTAAATGGTTTAATTATAGTCTGGCACAATATAAGAGCAAGATTTATTTGCAAGGCTCAGCTTCATCATGTATTCACTGGTTATGATGCATCTTGCCGAAGAATTTCAACAACAAGGAATATTGGTAAAAACGATAAGAATGAAGAATTGCAAAAACAGATTAAATATGAGAAAAGATTATAGACGAAAAATGACTCTGGCACTTCAGTTTCTGGAAAAAATATATCTAAAATAATCTTCGCGCTTCAACAACAAGCACTCTAAAAAGCTATGGCAAATGGCACTTGTAAAAAATTGAGTAGCAGTTACTTTAACTACCGCATTTATAATCTAAAGCAAATATATTCAATGTAGAACTAATGATACTTTCATAAAGCATCACTGGGCGCCTGCATCATATATAGAACGTCAGTATTTTAGCCATGGCTAATAAAGATATTAAACAATCAGTGTTGGGGAGACATGCCACGCTCATATCGAGCCTTATTCAACGCCGCTAACTTTCCTCGCGCTTCAATCAATTCACGTTCTTTTCGAAGAACTTGTTCCTGGGCATCCATCACCTAAAATAGTACCTCGTTATACTCATTTCTATGCTAGTATCTTTTCAAGAATGCAAATAGTAAAAATTCATTACTAAACAAAAATTTTCATAATTAACTTACAGATTTTTTTCGAGACAATAAAAAGATTCATAATAAACGGTGTCATAAAACATCTATAAAATCCAAATCATACCTGTGCAATACCTGAAACCATGCGTTGTGAAATGATTAAAGTGCGCTCATCTTCATGTATCGCTGAACGAGCCGCCATTACCAAATGTTCCGTAGCTGTCTTCACAGCATGTCCTGCACTTTGTAACCTCTGCATGGCACGACTGTCTAAGTCTGACTTCACTTTACACGCCACCAAAAGATGAGCAGTTGAGGAGGCTACCTAAACAATAAAAGCTAATTGCTATATTTTACAATTTAGCCTCATCATCTAATTACCCAGATCCATTTCTCTCTACTGCATCACACATACTTTCTGAAACGCCTCTCATTTTCTTTTGCTCACACATCTTATCACTAACTTTACTTAACCGTATACCCTACTTATTGTAATAATTTGGAGCATACAATTTCTTATACATCTTTAATCCTTGCTTAGTTTTAACAGTCTACCAATTTCAAAATATATATAAGTAATCATAGTTTTGAATTGTTGAACTTCATGCCTCACATTCTCAAATAAATGTTGCTTCATTATAAATCATCTAATGGTTATCTTTTTGTCTTTTACTAATGATTTGCTATTTGTTATTTTATATTTTGGACTAAGGAAATTATACTGAATAAAAAAGAAATTTGAATGATTTTTATTGGACTCATTATCAATATGTTTGACCCAAGAATTTGTTAAGACTGATTGTTTAAAAAATTTCTCGAAAGACGTAAGCTTAAAATACAAAGTGCAATGTTGACTTATTCACCATATTCAAATTCATTTCTCGCAAACAAAATACCACGTCCTCAATCACTTCGACAAATTTTTGATACAGAATGTTCACAACCAACAGAACATAAAACGCTTGTCATGAAACTCAGAAAAATGAAGTTCTGCGCGGTAACCAACAAAGTTATTTCTCACTTGTCATTCAGTCTGTGCCTAATCATAATAATCTAAAATTATGTCCGGAAACATAGCCTTTTTTTCTTACTAACCTGATCTAACATGTATATGTATATAAGAATATATCATATATATGCGTACCTGTTTTGCAGCCGAAATAAGTTTCTCTTCAGAAGAATGACCTTGTACAAGTGCATTAGCTGCTTCGCAAAGCTGATGAACGGCTGCTGCAACTAGTCGAGATGCTGAAATCAGTCCTTCTGACCACTGATAATCGTCTGTTGCAAATGCCGGTTGAGCTTCCAGCCTGCAAACCATATCAGTTAATAGTTAGTGATCCAGTTTGCCTTACAGAACTTCATAAAATCTTCTTTTAAGCAATGTTCAAAAAGTATTACCTTCCTTGAGCCACCAACTCACGCTGCGCTGCAGATGCTGCTTTCACAAGAGTCTGTACAGCAGTTGCAATTGACTTTGCCGCA